CGTCAACAGATTCCATTGAATCGATTTGTCAGACTGTCCATACTCGAGCTCCGTTAAGAGAGGACGCCGTCCCCACAGTCGAAGTTTTATATACACTTCGAGAAGCAGAAATAGACACCCTAAGAACACTACACAGAACATTTGCTATTATCATCGACGTTTTGGTGATGCCGCCAAAAATTGTCATCCTGGTTGCATGCACCCGAAAGCCTTTCTTAAGGCTTTACAGGAAAAGGTACCAGCCAGCCAGTAATGGCGACGACTTCGGCTGACCGGTCTTCTAATTGCCTGCTTTTTGTCCGTGATTCCACAACCAACCTTTCATTTTTGTTTGACACTGGAGCCAAGGTCAGCGTTCTGCCTCGTGGAATGGAAAAACGCTATCTCCTTTCCACAGGACTAACTCTCCTGGCGGCTAATAACACCAAAATCCAGACCTACGGTTAGAAATTGCTGACTCTCGAGCTTGGCCTCCGACGAACATTTTCTTTCGTCTTCCTGATCGTCTCATCATCGGTGCCGACTTTCTCACCAAATTTGATCTTATTTTCTACTTACGCAACAAGGAACTTCGTAATAGTATCACTTCCCTTACCACTCCGGGCAGAGCCACTTCGATCAGCTCGATCGGACTTCGCATGACCCTACCCACTAACACTGTTCACAGTGCTACTACAACAGTTCCCCACGTTGTATCTGCCGTCCACTAACTGTCCCGAACTTAAACACGAAATAGTGCACTACATCACACCACTCACAGACCACCACCCGATAAACTTGCTAACGCCAAAGCCGAGTTTGAACACATGCTCCTTCTTGGTATCGTCCGGCCATGGTCTTCACATTTGCACACGGTTCCCAGGAAGTATTGTGAAGATTGACGACCTTGTGGTGCTTACCGCCAATTAAATAATGTCACAGTCCCAGACAGGTATCCGGTACCACATATTCATGATTTTTCAATCGGTGTAGACGGAAAGTTATCTTCCCTAAGATTGACCTAGTCCGGGCATATTACCAAATCCATGTCGCCCCTGATGACATCCCCAAAACGGCCATAACAACACTATTCGGTCTTTTCGAGTTTGTTCGTATGCCTTTTAGGTTCCGAAACACCGCACAAGCCTTTCAACGATTCATCGACTAAGTTCTCCGAGGACTTGCTTTTTGTTTATATAGACGACATTCTCGTGACCAGCGAACGAAGAACGTCTCTTTCATCTTCGCGAAGCCTTTGAGCGTTTCGATCCTTATGGTTTTACGATTAACGTGTACACATGTCTTTGGCCGGTCCGGTGTTGATTTTCTTGGTCATCGAATCGATCGCAACGGAATCAGTCCACTTCCGGAAAAAACAAAGGCAGACACAGAGTAACCGATGCCACAATCTGTCACATCCTGCTCCGTTTCCTTGGTATGGTGAATTATTACGGCTTTTTATACCTGATTGCTCTAACCTGCTTCAACCTTTAACTGACTTGCCTAAAGGATTCGGAAACTCAAAACCCACGAACGAAGCATTAGGCGCTTTCGATAAGATTAAATATGCTTTGTCCAACGTCACTGCGTTTAGCCACTTACGGACTGCTGTTAACACACCTCTCGTTCTTAAAACCAACGCTTCACAGACTGCAGTTGGAGACGTTTTACAACAACTTATCGATAGTCATCCCGAATCACTTTTCCCGTACATTACAGCCTACACAAACCAAGTATAGTACCTTCGGAAGAGAACCTTTGCCCATCTATCTCGCTGTTAAACACTTTTGACACCTCGAAGCTCTTTTATTTACCATTCTTACTGATCACAAGCCACTTGTCTTTGCCTTCCGCGGTTCTTCGGGCCGTTTTTCCCCTCGTGAAACTTGACACCTTGAGTACCTATCGCAGTTTACAACTGACATCCGTCATATAGACACTACTAATAACGTGGTATCCAACGCAATGTCCCTCATAGGACTTCACGAACTTTCGCGTCCGGCAATCGAGCTGGTGGAAATCGCTGCTCATCAGGAGGGAGATCCTGAGTTTATGCAGATGAAATCAAACCCTTCGATCAAACTTACTCTTCTGCTGCTCCTTAACTCGGACTCCAAAGTTCATTGTGACATGTCTACGGGTTAGCCGTAAGCCTACGTTCCTCAGCGATACCGCCGAGTCCTTTACGATCATTTTCACGGGCTCTCGCATTCAAGCATTCAGGCTACTATTGAGTTGATCACAGGTCGCTTTGTTTGTCACAGTATGCGCTCTGACATCCAACAGTGGGCAAAGCACTGTATTACGTGTCAGAACAGCAAACTCCACCGCCATACAATCACTGTCCCCGGCACATTTTCCCTACCGGATGCTCGTTTCAAGCATGCCCATTTGGATATCGTTGGTCTTTTACCTCCTTCCAACAGTTTTCAGTACTTGATGACACGTGTTAGTCAACATCATCAACAGCAGTACATCAGCCATTTGAACTGATGCTTCGCTACCATACAACCATGAGGACCTATGCAATAAAGAATAAGAAGAGGGGAGAGAAGGGGGACTTACCTGAAAACCTTAATGCCCTAATCAAACATTCAGGGTCAAGGCGCCTACACCTTGTGTAGACAACATACCATCACAAACAGCTGGCTATCGTGCAAAGATAAGGCGCCATCGGCGAGACAGCTTCCTTGCGGCTTTTGCACGTGTTAATAGCTTTACGCGTTGGCCGCACGCAGTGCCATTACGGGACGTTTCCTCTGAAACAGTAGTGCAAACCTTCATCGAAACGTAACTTTCTTTGGTATACCTGCTACTATCACGACAGAGGTCCACAGTTTACTACTTCGTTGTTCTGTGACCTGAGTCGTTTGCTCTGTTCTTCTCACTTACACACAACCGCTTACCATCCTGCAGCCAATGGTTTGGTCGAACGCTTTCATCGCCAATTGAAAGCTTCGATTACCGCTTCCCAGTCGAGCATACAATAGTCGGGGCGTTTGCCAATAATCCTGCTTGGCATACGTAACACTGTCAAGGAAGATATAGCCTGTTGCCCCGCTGAGTTAGTTTTTGGCACGCCACTTAGACTTCCTGGAGAGATGGTACTGGATTCAAGGGTCACTGGCGAAGTAGATCCAACCTCCTATGTCACACGCCTGAGAAGTCACTTTAGCTCGGTACGCCCAACACCTCCACGACTCACGCCTCGTAATCCACAGGTTCATCCTGATCTTCGCGATTGTCCCTACGTTCTTGTGCGCATCGATACTGTTCGTAAGCCTCTGGCAACACCCTACGTGGGTCCTTACAAAGTTATCGAGCGCAGGGACAAGTATTTTGTGTTGGACCGAAATGGTTGCAAAGACTCTGTGAGCATCGATCGTTTGAAACCTGCTTACATCGAACTTTCTTCGTCGCAACAACCTACAGTCACATCTGTTCCCGATAATGATCCATCACCGAGCACCCCTCCTACCCAGCTTGTGTGTGATCCCGGTGTACCTTCTTCGCTATCCCCTGCGACACCCACCACAACCACTCAGATACACAAACGCGCACGGTTTGGTCGTACAGTGATCTCCTTCTAAACTGGCGTTTTACAATCAGTGAGACGTAGATTTCGAGCATTCGCTTGCTCACTCACTCTCTAGGGGGCGGAGTCCTGTAGTGTTCATAGATTTTTCGTTTTTTTGCGCTTTATCTCACTTCGTTTTTCAATCGGTAATTGACCGATTTTTCCGATACACTTCTTCTCGACCTCCAACGGCGCGTTCTGCTTTCTTACGGCGGCGTGTTGTGCTTGTTATGTCTGTGCGCCTGGGACGTTTGAGCTTCGAGGAATCGACATTGTGGAATATCATCCTTCGGCTAATCCGTCAGGGAATGTGCAACATATGTGGTTAGTCCATCCGGTCACACCTGAGGGTCAGCGTATTCCTATCTTTTATCTGACATTGGTTTCTTCTTCCGGTGCAGTAGTCTAGCACTAGTTTTCACTCCACTACAAAGGCACCTTTGATGTCGAAGAACATAACTACGGTAGGTTGGCATTTGATACGGCGGTGTGAAGACGTGGTCAATAGGTCCTCGGTCTCATTCGAATTCGGCTTGCTTCTCACAAATCTGACTTTCACTAATGGCAACCAGTCTACGGAGAGCTACAGAGGCAAACAATTTAGGCGATAGTGGTCATACTGATCCTTCTATGATTGCCGCAATTCAAAGATGAGCCTCGCTCGAAAATTGTATTGTTCGTCAGGAGTAACCTTACCCGAAGCGGGTACTAGCAGACCATCTTCTCAGTAAGTCAGCCCTGTCATATTCGGCTGCCATTCGATCGATGTCAAAATTCCTCAATTAAACGCAATATACTTCATATGCTCTACATCGCTGTTCTGTTTTATTGTTTCTGTCCTCCTTTCTTGGCACCCCTCAGTCTCTTTAGATCTCTTTCCATTGATGCTTCAATAGCTTGGTTAACACCACGAGCATAATCGGTTCATCCTAGTAAATCGCGGGCCTCCGCTCTATTCACAGATCATCTTCATTTCCTTTTTATCTACGGACTCCGCATTTCTTGACTACTTGGTAGCACTACCCTTCGCATTTTCCTTCGTAATGTTGCCACACTCATATTAAAATTTCATTTTTCCTGCTTTGTGCTGATATGTACACTTGCAAACATACCATTACCTACTATTTTTTCTTTTTACAACAGTGAGTCGTACCATTTTTGCCGGCCTGTAGCCTTAAGGATCACAAGCTTGCCTTGTAATCCGAAGGCGTGGGTTCGAGCTTGCCTAGGAACCGGGCGACCCTCATAGTATCCTTAGCCCACGTGCGACTGTTAATGGTTGCGCGACAGCAAACCGTCGGTACTGCGTACCGGCATACTGCTGACGCTTTCTTTCTTTTTTTCCCATCGTTTTTTAGACGTATATCGGCATCCATTTAAAAATCTTCGCATTTGTTTCATCTCCTCATTTTTCCGACTGTTTTATTTTACCCATCTCTTCTGGCTTTAGTTACTACCGGACTTCACCTCTCGGACAAGGCGTTCAAGTTTCTTTCTAAATGGTTCATAGTTACGCCGTAAATTCGTGTGTCTTTGTACTGGGACTTCTGTTTACCCTCTGGTTTATGGGGGAAGAAGAGCATGTTATCTATAGTGGATTTTCTACAAAGACTGCTTACCGTTATTGCAGCCTACAACCATTTGTAGACAGAGCTTCTGAATTCGTGGACGAAAATTGTCAGCTTGTGCACGTCAACGTTCTCTTCAGGCATGGGACTCGAGCGCCCTCCGGGGATGATGTGGTTGGATTTGAGGAACTTCACGCTCGCTTGGTTTCAAGGTCTGTTGCTTAATGCATTATCGATATTTCATTTTATCTCCAACTCCTCATTAGTTTACGAATCACACTTTAAAGGCTTTATCGTTCACTCCTCCCTTTATGCATCCCTCCCGAGTCGTTCAGAGACACTATGGTCTCTGCTTACCGATACTTGTGATCTGAATTGGTTGATGGTTCACCGGCCGGTGGCCGAGTTTGCGTAGGGAACCGGGCGACACAAGCAGTATCCTTAGCCCACGCGCGATTGGTATAGGTTGCGTGTCGACGAAGCGTCAGTACCTCGTACTACTGATATTGCAATTGTTCGCTCCGCTTCAATTAGAACAAGCAGTGCTCATGCACGTAGATATCTGAATTTGGGCGAGCACTTTTTATGCTTTAACAAACATCTTGAATTCGAGGATATCGCCTGGCATTACAAATCTCAACCTGTTTTCCTCCATTTCTCACCTTATTGCAGTAAGATGGACATAACTGAGCGCGAAATAACTCGCTCGCTCCGCTTACTTACGCCGGGCGTCTTCCTACTAGCTGTCTCCGTCCACTGATTAGATACTGTTCGCCAGTCAATCTGTTGTGTTAGCGACTAATTTTTATGATTGACAACAGGAGTATGCATTGTTTCACAATAAATGACCGACTGTTTGGCTTTTTCTTGAGTCGACGTTGCTCTGTTGTTGGCCCTTCCCAACCAAATAATCCCGTTTTACCCCTATCTCCCTCCTTTTAATGCGCTAATCAGTTTGGTTTCTGAAACTACAAGCAATCCATTGCTGCACTTTTCATCAGTTGGTCCCTAGTGCAGTTTCTCCCATTAACCTTCTAACCGACATAAATCATTCAGCAGCTCCTAGGCTCTGTTCTTTTCTTGAACGCCTTCCTTAGTTCGGTTGAGCAACTGTAATCCGGACATCGCAGTCCGGTGAATCTCTGACGCTGCCATCAGTGGGCCACCGTTTTAGTTTAATCCGATGTTTTCTAGTAAACGAGAATTTATCAGCAATTTTCACCACCATCATCTCACAGCCTAATACCACGGTGCTCACTGTTTTGATTCTGGGAATTAATTTTGGTTGCTCGTTCACCGACTATTTGGATTTCTTATTGGATATGGTGTATACTACGGAGACCTTTACTTCCAGTAAACTGCTTTCTGAAATTGCACTTCATTGCCACACATGTCTTCCAAGTGGAGGAAGGTTTCCCTTTAGCATTATTGTCAATAAGCGGTACTTAAGCTCCCTCCGGCTCCAGTCATTAAAGTTACTTGCACCTTTTTCAACGCCCCCAGTGTTAGTGCTGCCTAAATTGTCAATTGGGTTCAATCCTATGTGGTAAATTTAAACCGTTTATAAATACGCGAATAGTAGACTTCGTCTACCAGAATACAAAACCTAGCGCTTTTACTGAAAGCCGTATGCTCAAACTAACTGACAGGCGATGCTAGTCTATCCTACTTTATCCGGGGGTTCTGAGAACCGTCACTTATTAAGACTGTCTCAAACAGCTCCTGAATCGGATTACATCCACTTGCTTGGAGGTTGATTGGAAAAACATCGTAGCGCGTCGACAACGAGGTTTCCTCCAATTCCTGCCCAGACTGGCTTTCGCGGGTGCACTTCGGACGTGGATTTTGGGCACTTTTATCAATCTTTGCGACATTATTCTGCTGTCGCGGCTTATCCATCTTGAATTATTGTGTGCGGCGTAGCAGTTTTCACTGTTTGCTGCTGGCATTCTCCTTATTATAGAGTTGTTTTGCTTTCAGCTATATATCATATGTGCGTAATGTCGGTATTTTGACATTTGTCGTTGTGGTGCTTAGTGGCGCAGTTATTTTGTGGGTATCTCCAGAGAACGAAATTGAAATGACAGTATGATCGTTTTTACTAACGATGAACCAACTTTATTTTGTTGTGGATCACGGTCCGGCATTCTTTGCTTTTCTACCTTCATTATTTCTTTCAACTTATCTGCAAGTTTTCCGGTTTTGATTGGTTTTCACCAGCAGGCCACTTGTTTTTCCCGTACAGTACGGGAGCTGCTCTCCCATCCGGGTTTGAAAAGCACCCCATTCCGTTCCTAAATTGCTCAGATCGACAGCTGTTACCAATGGGCGTCCATGAGATGTATACACTTGGCCGCACGTTCCGCGAACAATCGTCAAGTTTCTTCAACTTCACTCCGTCTAATTCGCGGTTTTTCACCAGCTCTTCTACTCGAGCAATTGCCAGCGGTCAATCGTTCTACAATGGAGTAAGTCACTCAGAGATGGTTTTTTCCTTATGCTGTATTGTAAAGGGGTCTGTCGCCGTTCATCGCCTGGCACCGTACTTTGCCTTGTGCTCCATTCCACCCGAGGGTGGGGCGTGGGGAGGAAAATAGCGGTCAAGGTTTTACTTAATCGATGTGTATTTATGACCTAAACACGATTATCTTTATAGGTTAAACACATAACCTTGTAACGATGTCTGTCTTTGGTTCCTCCGTTCCTTGGCCTTGATTGGTCCGATTGTCTATCACCTTCCGATTGGCAACCCTTGAACTGTTTATGTGAGCAAATATCCCAAGTGAATCTCGTCAAATTGGTACACCACAACTGATACGAATAAAATAAGTTAAAACATCAGAAGGGAGTAAAGTTCAAAGGGTAAAAGGTCTAGGTCATCTAAATGACAAGGTCAAATGCATGGTTCACAAACGGTCAATGACATGTCAGTTGCATGTGTCCCAGCAGGGGTTACTGTAATAGGTGACCAGGGAAGAGGGAGAAACTGAACGAATTGTTTTTGTGCACATATGTCTGGGTTCTGGAGACGGATGGCGATCGCTTCGAAGCGATACTAGTTGATGCGAGATATATCATCATCAACAGCAGTACATCAAAAATTTGAACTGCTGCTTCGTTGCCATACAACCAGGATGACTTATGCAATAAAGAACAATAAGAGGCAGAGAAGGGGGACTCACCAGAAAACCTTAATGCCTTAAGCAAACATTCAGGGTCAAAGCGCCTACACCTTGTGTAGACAACATATCGTCACAAACAGCTAGCTATCGTGCAAAGATAAGGCGGCATCGGCGAGACAGCTTCCTTGCGGCTTCCACTGCCCCGCCTCATAATCAGCCACTACCTCGCATATAACTCAGCACCAAACACACTTTAAACAGGCAATCCGATTAGGGGACGGCAGTAAACGCGCCACTGGTGTCGGTTGCGAGCCATGTCCTGTAATGTCTGGAGCCAAGCACAAGACGAGTCACTTGAACTCCAACCCCGAAGGCGAGACGAACCAGCGGCACCCGATTTGGTAGTCAGTGACTTCATTTCCCATTGCCAAGTCAACTTCTGTCCACCTCGAGCCTTGCATGACCCTACACCTGGCAGACTAAACAAGGCCTTCCTAGATAAGCGTTAACCAGGCATACGTAGCGAGTGCCCGAGCCGACGCAACTTATTCAGTGGTATCTGTTGTTCTAGGGAGCTAGCATGATTATCACTACCTAGTACTCGCCTACGCACATCATCGTTGCGGACACGCTGGTGCCATCCGACACCAGCAATGTTTCGCAGACAACGATGAGCGAAGACTTGAAGGCGCCTCAGCTCTTCAGACCGAAGGGGCCAAGTCTCACTACCATAGAGCAGAATGGCCCTCATTGTGGCCTTGTATACACGGCCTTTCAGACGGAGGGAAACTCTTCTGTCGCCAAAGATGCCGCAGGTTCAATAAGCCACTTCTGACTTGTAATGCGTGAGCTGACGTCAGTTTCTATGCGCCCATCGTTGCTGATGCAACTACCAAGATAAGTGAATTGATCAGCCATCTCGAGTTCCTCATTAGCAAGCGTCAAGGGGTCATCAAGTGGCTGGTGGTCCTGCAGCAACACTTTGCACTTTGAAGGTGCGAAGTGTATACCAAATAATAGGACCACTCTGGACAGGCTATTTAGGGTTGATTGTGCCGCCCCAACATTGTCGAAAAGCAAGACGATATCGCCCTCATAATCTAAGTCAACTAATCTTTCACCAGGTAGCACATTAACGCCTGCATCGTCAGATTCCGCAAGGTAACACTCCATGATAGAATCCACGACGAAATTGAACAAAAACGAGGAAATCGGACAACCCTGACGAACGCCACTTGTGGTCGGGAAGCTGTCCGATAGGCCACCGTAGACCCTGATGCGGCCTGTAATGTTGGAGTATAGAGCACAAACGATATCCGCATGTTTCGTGGGAACACCTTTTCGCGCAAGTATTTCGAACAGAATCGATCGATCGCCTGAATCGACCGCACACTTTAAATCGAGAAACACAGCTACTGTCAATCTGCAGTGTGTGTCGCTGCTCTAGCACCTGGCGCAAAGGGAATATATGGTCTATACAGCCACGTCCTGGGCGGAAACCTGCCTGCTCTTCCTTTACCCGAGATTCCTGTTCCACAGTGAGGCGACGAACGAGAATAGAGGCCATTAATTTTGTCACAACTGGTGTTAGGCTAATACCCCTGTGGTTAGAACAGTCTGTGCGACTACCCTTCGATTCCCACCAATTCGCCGGGACACTCTTCCTCCCAGATGTGTTCGAATAGGGAGGTCAGTGCTTTGCAGAGGACCTCACCTCCATCTTTAAATAGTGCAGGTGGGAGCGCATCCGGGCCAGCGGCTTGAAGACGATTGAGGACTGTGATCGCGTTACGGACCTCGGCCTCCGACGGAGACTCTAAACTAACTGTCCTTAGTTCGTCCCGTATCACCTGAGTAGGAAGAGGTCCGGGAGCAGGGGGCCAGCTGAATTGATCTTGAAAGTGTTCCACCCAACGAGTCATACGGCGCTCCTTATTGTGTATCAGCGCACCTGCGATGTCTCTGATTGTCTCACTGCCTCCTGGTTTTTTGGGACCAATGGTGCGGATTAGCTGGAAGAGCTTGCGGTAATTGCCTACTGCTCCTGCCTCCTCCATTTCTTGAGCCCTACTGGTTGACCAGGCTTCCTTGTCAGCACGTAGGCTCTGCTTTAGTTCACACCTGATAGCCCGTCTGGTTACAGTATGCTCAGAGCCAGTCAGGAGGTTTCTTCTAGCTTGCAACAGGTTCACGGACCTCTCGGATATCCAGTGACTAGTGCGGTGACGATGGATAGTGCCACAAGAAGATACTCCTGCGTCGTGCATGGCGGCCGAGCTCCTATCCCACTGAAGCTCAGTGTCATTAGGACAAGACAGCGGAAGTTCGGTATGCAATATTTCTTGATAGGCTTGCCTGACCGAGGGTTAAGACAATTTCTCCGTTGCCAGTCGTAGGGAACACTTGGTGCGCCTCCCGGTAAAGTTCATGGAGAAACGACAGCGCACCAGGGCATGATCAGAGTCGACGCAGATATTCCAGCATGAGCGGCAATCCAGGATGGAACCATGCCATCTGTAACTTATGGCTATGTGTTCAATTTGGGTCTATCGTTGGCCAGCTACAGAGGGACACCAAGCGGTACTGCGGCCCCCAACTGTGTCTAAAAGCAGTGTTAGTAAGAAACAACTGGTGCTCCGCACACAGTTGCAGCAGATGCTCACCGTTGTCAGTCCGTTCGGAGTTAAGCCCATAATTACCACCCACCGAAGCATCTGAAGAGCTCAGACGCTCTATTTGTGCGTTTATATCCCCTGCAAATACTATACTATCTGAACTAATAGCACTGCTTAGTAGCGCGTTCAGTTCGTAATAGAATGTCTCCTTGACAGCATTAGAACTGCAGTCGGTGGGAGCATAAGAAGAAATCACAAACAAACAACGTGTTTTACTGCTTCGTAAAGCAACCTTAGTTGAGGTCGTCAAACGGGCCGCAAACAAACGGTTCACCGGAATCCAGTCAACCAACGATGGCACAGCCGTGGAGCTTACAATCATACCTAGACCAGCTTGACCCGTGAGTGCTGCATCCTTGTGTCCGGATGCGTGCAACCAATAACGAGAGGATAAGCCGGGTGCAGTTAATCCATTGATCCTAGTTTCAGACACACACACACACACACACATCAATACCTAGTGTGTCCAAGGTGCGTGCGAGTGCAGCCTATTGACCTATTTGTCTTAGAGTGCAAATGTTGCACGTCGCCATGGAAATGGGACAGCGTGGCCTTATAAGGGACTGTTACCGATAGGCTTTCGATGGGTCTTGTGGGAAGGTGGCTGCAGATGGTTCTACTCCAATGCCACATCGGTTGCTGTTAGTTAAGCTGGGAATTAAAAAAAGAATGTTAGTAATGGAGCTTGAGATGGGAGTAAGAGAAACAGGTGGAAAAGAAAGAAAGGAGGCGCCAGGTGTAGCATGTTTTCGCTTATCCGCCCTGTTGTATGCAGCAGATAAGGCGACCCTTAATAATTTGCGCGACAGTTGATGCAGGATGAAGTTTATGTTTGAAGAAAATGTCATGGTCGTATATGAGCTGAGATACTGCCAGGGCGCCCAGACCTAGACAGGAGGACGATTAGAGTCCTCACCACAAGCCTTTGGCTCAAAAGCCTGTCGACAAGGCAGCCGGGAGGTGGCAATGATTTAGTTTTACAGAAATGGACGCCATCCCATTTCAAACATCCTAACCTGGAAGACCAGGAGACTGAGTTTGTCTTTCACCATTGACCAACCTGGTAGGAGTGGCTCTCAAGGTGTCCCGAGGCACTACCCAGTACAGCTCAATGGGTCAAGGAGGCACTCAAACCGTTGCACCACGTTAAGGTCCAGTCTCGTTGCGACGGTTTGAGGAAAGTTTCATAGTCACCGCTTTTGTCAGAATGCTTACCATACACAAACTTTCGCCTATGTTGCAAGTCTGCAGCCAACCGTTTGATGCTTTGTACTTTGAGTTTTTCAATTTCGTTGCAAAGTGCAAAACTCGTTTCAAATTCTTGGAAGATACTTGGAACTGATCGAGAAGTTATGAGTTCAGAGAGGTTTAGAAACAACTACCAAGCTACTATATGCAGTCTGGTTCCTGAATCATTGTTCCGTGTAATGGGATTTTTCTTGCAAATGCAAACTGGCACAATTTCCATGAATGTATGTTTATACCTTCAATTCCCGTTTTTCTGATATTCATTTTTCAGTCTTGATGCGTTGTACTCAGTCATCTAAAAACGACTTTCCTCTTTAAAGTTCTAAAGATATGTGTCTCACTTACTCCGGAATGTTCTACCAACGTTCTTGAGCTTTTTATTTCATAACTTTTTCACAACACTGATATTCTTTCTTCAAGTGTTGCTACTTTTATCTTTGCGATTTTTTAGAACTAGCCATTTTGTCCTTTGTCAGACTTTTCAACCAGAAAGTGTTTCACTCGAAATGGACACAGAATGTTGTAGTTTCTATTTGTTTCCCGTAATTTATACGGACCGAATACTCACATGGCTAGACAACGGCACACAGTTTCCCCACAGACAAATTACAGACTAATTAGACACCCATTTACACGCGCGAACAGGTAGATTACCACTTCATTGTTAGTGTCTAGTCTTGCTACGCAGACAAGGTAAGCAGGACGAGCGGCCAATTTTGACACCTCAAGACGAAGTCTTAGGCAGTCGTGCTATGAGTGATCGCATTTTGCAGGTGTTTGAACGCCTGGAGACCACAAAAACGTGGTCGCGGTTGCATTAGACTGGTGGACGCGATACAGGTTTAGACCAATGAGAAAATATAGAGAAAAAACGGGATATTTTTGACTGATCCCCATAGCAGTTTGGATTGTACTAACTTGCAGAGTCAAGACATAGTTGCGCGATCACAGCTGGGTGCTAACCGCATGTTGAGGCTGCTGCTCCATATTTGCACAGCAAGTAGCACACGAGGACGCCGGCTGCCGTGGTCTTAAGGCTATAGCCGCCGTTCACCCTGGTGCACGTGACTGGTCAGATGACACCCTTTGATTGGTATTTTGATTAGTCTGGTGACACCTTTTGAGTATTATCTGGCTTATTTCCTGTTATCTCAATGGTACTGACGAGATGATGCGAAATGCGTGCATATCTACCAATGTTCATCTTTCTGTGTTATTCAAATTATTAAAGGGAACTAACTGTTTTTAAAGTACATAATTTAAAGCGGATTACCCACTGACCGTGCTTCGAACGGAATGTAGTGAATATATGTGGAACAACTTGCCGCCGCACGTAATCGGTGTCGGAATCTAAGAAATTCCTGGACAAACACTTCGCAGTCATGAAATATCCTTAAGCTCGCCAACATAGTAGATCATTGTACCTGAGGGATTTTGGACGCAGCCAGACAAAAAATCACAAAGCGCCCGAGTTCATCGAAGCCTGGTACTCAGGGCAGAACTCAATCAACATGCACTTACAGCTAGATACCACCTATGAAACGCTAAGGGCCAAATCAATAATCCGCCCAAAATCAACACGATAACGAAACCCCAATGAGGCGGACGCGAGCCAACGGAACGCAAGCGCTGACTACACAGTCAACTCACGTGGCTCCATCGACTCCTGACGTTCGAATCAGTAACTGATCAGTAATCACTCGGACCTGGAAGTTGCCCGCATAAATCGCATTGATGATTTCGTCTAGTCTGACATTGAAACGTCTGCAGCCAAATTAGCCAGCTCGGAGAACACCCGAATACCCTCATCCGCATCCCGAGCTACAACTATTCTCCTGAATTTCCAGTGATATATCTTACTGCTTCCGTACAGTATTCGCTCGCGAAACTGGCGCATAAGTAATACGGTCATTTTGGCAAATTCTCTCGGAGGAATTGTGAACTTTTCAAATAGTTCTATCGTGGCACCATGCCAGCGCTCAGGTATACCACGGCTTAGATCGTGCTTAGGGGTGAACAAAGGACAGCGTGCAGTCTTGTGTTGTAACTAGAGGATTGGGTTTTTAAATACTGTCGCGTACTTTTTTCTAATCTTCACTAAACCCGAATAGCCCATATTTATACTTGTAAATTTACCATAGGCTTAAGCGTCTTTTTTACCGTGCTGTGACGTATATGCTCATTTGAGCGGACATTTGACGATGGATCCATCCATCGCATCACTCATTGACTCAAATCGCTACCTGCGGATCCTTTTGCAATACAGAAGAGATTGCCACATCCCACCTAACCGATTCTGTTTTCTGCGCAATTGTCCCAATTTCGCGTTACGTTAAATTCTCATATCCCCACCTTTGTTTCGTTTTCGCTTCTTTCGCTATTCTCAGCTTTTCAACTTGTCTCCTCCGGATCCCGGTACATCGTATTTTGCACTGCCTTCATTAAAGTTCAAAAATGGCTTTGGACAAAGCAACGACCTGTTAAAGGTGGACGACAAGCTCTTACGGTTTTTTGACTATTGTGATCGATATGTCAAAGAAATCGTGCATAACAAGTCGACGCTTTACGAATATACTGCGTTCAAGAATGGGCCAGAAATGCAACACGTATTGATGGACATAATCTCTCAACATCGGTTAAATGAAAGCACCTTTATCAGAGGTATGTTGGTATGCCGCATTTGTACTTGATCGTCTACGTAGTTTATTTCTTTGGCTTTTAAAGGCACGCACATTTGACCTGTTCTAACGCTGTTTGTAATTCAGCTACTAGCAATGTTCCCGTTCGCGCAGTTCACAGCGAGAGGTTCTCAGCAGAGCCGCTACGATTGAAGCCACCTAATTTCCGTGGGCCCGTTTCCAACTACTCGCGTCGTCATACTAGCATCAGTCAATCTTAAATGCGAATGCAAATCTGGACGAGAATCTTGCATGCAAAATTAAATGCAAACTTGTAAGAAACATTGTACATTTGTTGGACGAAAGACTAATCACAAAAAGTTGTGTGCAGGAGCGTCACTGAATTCCGAACTCGCCATATCCGGTAGGGTTTCTAGTCGTTAGGGCAGCGGATCAAGCCCGGGAAAACGACGCGTTATCTCCTTGACTGACTGTCACTGCGTATACAGTGTTAGGCAAATTATTATAAATTTGTAGAATTCAGTAAACTCTTTTCCTTCTTCCTCTCTTTTCTTTTCTGTACATTTCTTCTTAAAAATCAAATGCTTTAGCTGCGAATTGCTTATATTTTCCAAGCAAAACCTATTGATTAGAAATTCATCATGCTTAGTATTTTCTAAATGGTCCTTTGGCAATTTTCAGGGAGTTAACACGCAAAAGCATGGAGTGACTGAGCTTTTTGCAATGTTCAGTCATGCATTCACTGCTTACCTAGGTCGCCATAATTTCTTCAATGCGCTGCTGCTTATTTGTAATAATTTTTTCTTCATCTCTGACTTCATAAGTTCTCTATTGGACTCATGTCAAGGCTGTTGTCACGCCATGGTAACACTTCAATACCACGACCCTGAAGAAAACTGGTTACTTCATCCTCTGTGACATGGAGCACTGTCATGCATGAAAGCGAATTCTCCTGTCCCTGTAAATCATTTTTTATTTACCCATTCACACACCTGCGGGATCAGTTGGTGCTCTAGTAGTGTTTGGTACTGCTGCTAGTTCATGTTCCCATCTACGATGTAGACCCGACCAGTTCTGTAGATGTGCTCATAACGCTACATAGCATGATCTGAGTGGGATGCTTGACTCGTTGAACGATGCATTTTCCCTCATCTGTTCTCCTGTTGATCTCCGGACATATAGAGAATGCTGGTCAGCGCACCGAATGATAAACTCATCACTAGAAACCACCTAAAATAAAACACAGCAACGCTGTCGGGAATATCCAAGCAATGTAGGATCAATTTTCTCAAGAAATCTTTATAGAAATAAAGCTTTTGCTTCTTACACTCTCAAAGACTTCTTTTGACCATTTGTCTAGCTGTTTAGCTCATTCCTGTCATTTTTCTTTCGTTTGGTCAACTTTTGCTTTCTCAATGGTCTGCAAGCTCGAAGTTCAGAATCCATAAATCTTCTTACAGTCCTGAAACTTATTGAAACGCCATGCTGTTCTAACATCCCTTGTAGCTGTCTGCTGGATACTTTGCGATTTTTTTCGCATTTCTTAGGCAGAAGTGAGTCGTCCTGAGCTTTTGTGGTTCTTCTGAGACCACATTTACGGAAACCTTTAGCTGACAGGGATAAATACTTTTACAATTTCTTTCGAATTTGGCATACAGACGCTGGGCTAACACCAATATTGGTAGCAATTTCCGATCCTTTGACACTTTTCAACAAAATTTCAATTTTTTCACACTTTGGAGGGGTACGTTACATAATTTACTCATTAATATGCTAATACAGTCTAGTAACTATCGACCAATACGCTTGTGTCGTTACTTGAGAACATACCTTGAAAAATAAAAGTAATTATATGTGCTTATAAATTTATCGAAAACCAGACAAACGTACTTCAGAAATGTTGACTGCAGTTGGTACTAACAAATTAAGATAAGAATGTAACCGTCGGTTTACATAAGTGCTGTACATGTAACATCAACCAATTTGTCCTCATTTTCAAAACTCATTTACTCCATGCCTTTGCATATTAACTCTGAAAATTGTACAAGGATCATTTACAAAACACTAACCTTGATGAATTTCTAATCAGTATGTTTTTCTTGTAAAATGCAATCAGCTTATAGTAAAAACATTTGATTCTTATGTGAAATGTGAAGAAATATGAAAAACGTTTGCTGAATGCAGTGAATTTATAATAATTTGGCCAATACCGTACAGGTCTGTGTAACTCGAACTGCGTATTCTGATCTAATAATATTTCTCGACTGCATGCAAACCTGTTGGATAAAATTCCTTGAGGTCGATGGCATCGCAAATTGATGCAAAGAAATTTTGAAACAGTTTCTCCCCTTCAGTACTTTGAAAATCACACTGAGAGGATGAACGCTGATAGATGCGCTCATTTCGTATTGTCTCATCAGTACCAATATCTTAACAAGAAATCGATCATATACCGTTCAAGGGGTGTTAGAAACCAAACAAATGCAGGGAGATGAGCGATGGCGTTGATCATAGGACGCTATCAGTCGATTTAGAAACAAACTGACTGGTGAGCGAGAGATATTCGCTTACAACCAGACACTTGCAGGCGTTGCAAGAGCTGAAGGATAAGGAAGTAGTTGTATTGGAGCCGGACGAAGGCTCAGACGCAGTACCCATGAATAGGAACGAATACATTCAGAAAATGTTGGGCATACTTTGCGACGAAAACAAATTTCATGGTATTGATCGACCAGTGAGCCTGTCACAGATAGCAGCTCGCATCAGTCGCCATTAGGTCACAGCATCAACCACGAGATTTACATGACTCTTAATTGAAATGCTTCAATAACGCGATGGCTGTACGGATTACCAACGAGGCATAAGGAAGGGATGTTACTTAGACCAATTTTATCAGTGGTGGATTCCCCGCAGCATAAATTGACGTGTTGCTCAATAAGAACCTTAGCCTTACTCGAGATTACATTTTACACGGCTTTAAGGATTCCTTCGGACTCATTGAAGATCTCGACCAGGTTAACCTAGTTGACAAGCTCCTGTGCTACTTGGACACACAATCGTTGTTTACTGATTTCTCTTTGATCGAGACAGTCGATTACGCATACCAGTTGACTGATGCCGAAAACTTCCATATGCAAATACCGACAGACTTAGACAGGATCTGCTGCTCTGCACAGAAAATGTTAGATTTCGTTTCCAACAAACATCGCCAATTTGATGGGGCAGTTTTGCGCAGTCCGTTAGGCCTCATACTGGCCGATTTTTCATGCTAATGCTAAAAAGGAGATTAATTGAGATCTCTCAACGAACGACATGTCGATGACACTAACATATTCGGTTGTTCGATGATTCAACTTGAGCGCTTGGAGTACCAGCTTAATAGCGTCCATGTCAACTTGAAAGTCATTCATGAATTTTAGATGAATGGCAGCCTGCTGTATCGGGATCTTCTCATCAGCCGAAGGGATACCGGACTCGTTAAGTGGTCTGTCTACTGGAATCCAACATGCTTTGGTCAGTATTTGCATTACACCAGTTTCACACCGTTGGATCATAAGAGTGCATTGGTTAAAATCTTGTCCACTCCTGCCAGGCGTATTTGCTCGAGCGATTGTCTTGCTAAAGAGGTAGAGACAATATCCAAAACACTGATGGAAAACGGCTACCCTGGTCGCCAGATCAGACTGCCGAAGGGAGCGGTGTTGACAACATCTAAGAAAAGTTATACCTCCAACACCCATTTACGGGTAACCCCGACAGTCAAGCGCTTAGTCTCTGTCATTCGGAGAATCTGCTGCTCCGCGCATGCTGTGGTAATCACTAGAAACCGGAAACTGTCATTGCCTTCAATAAACGAAGCGGAACCCATCGACGCCAAATCACACTGTGTTTACCAACTTGAAGGTCACTGAGAAGTCAATTGCATTGGCAAACCGAGATTTTGCATTCCGGAGTGAAGGTGCACCTTTCCCCCAACGACGAGCATGCTGTAGCTAAAGGAGAACCTGCCCAAATGGGTTCAGCATGAGGTCAGTCAATGTTTGGTCAACCATCAGCCCAATATTCCATGTTTACGTAAGCCGACAGCGTCATCAAAAGCCAAACATGTTTTGGTGACTCGTCATCGATTTGATTCCGGTTCAGCGTTTCAGATCTTATCACCTCATCCAGATCCACACTTCTTGCGGTTCGCTGAGGCTGTGGCGATAAGCCAGCTAAGACCTGTCCTATGTATGCAGAAATAATCAGTTGTTGAGTAAAGGAATTTACCGAAAACCGGAATTTGTTTAGTGCGTGTTATTACCCCAACTGTATTCCTGGGTAAGATCGCGTTCACTAATTGTCTGGCACCCCATCGGATCTGACGCGACTCCTTATCGAGTGGTGCTTTTCCACGTGACCACTGGCTTCTGTGTCTTCGCTTTTTCGGTTGACTATTCTAAAATTTTCCTCCACTCTTGATCTGACCTTTTTTGGTTTCTGGCGGTGTGTCAGGGTAAACGAATCCATCACGTTTCATCACATGGAACACTATCCTTTATTTACGCTCTGAAGTTCTTACTGCCAAGCTGAGGAACGCTTTGTTCACTCAGTCAGTTTAGATGCTTTACTATTATTATTATTATTATACACATTAGTTGCAGGTGGAAGACACCTCAGCTATTGTGCCGCAATACAAAAGAAAAAACACGCAACAAAGGTACCAGTAACGGATGGACACCGTTCCGGAGAGCTAAAAGCCGGTTATTGTGTCGAAAAAGGAGTTATATTGAGCCTAATGAATGAGATCGTGGTTGGAGGAAGAGGCTGAGCAGGAGGGGAGGGAAAAAGAAACTCACAACACAAACTTCATTGAGGTCGGCTCCTAGCCATGTCAAAAAGTTTATCCAGCCAAACGTATTCATCGTCCTTCGGTCCCCAACCAGGGAGCCTAGAGGCTTCAACCGAAGCCAACTACGAAGTAATGGTCTTCATTCCTCTGAACCAAGTCATCGCTTGGCCACTCCTCCTCTTCTTCCATCCACCTCCGGCGCGCAAACGGCATACGTCACGGGTTTCGGAGGGCTGACTTCAAAGCGCGAATGTAGTACAACAGATGCATACATTTCGTATCTATTTTGGAGAGTCATTAGTGATGACTCGTGGTTGTTTACATTTTTTGGGTTTGTTTGAGAACAAACATACATGCCCTCGCTATGAAAATGAATGCCAACCCTTACGTTCTTGACCGATAAAGCCACTCAATGTTTGCTTTAGAATACAAATTCCTCTTAATCCTGCCCATTGCGATCGCTTCGATAAAGCAGAGGAGACAAACATATTCCAAGAAATGGACGCAAAATTCAGCTTGACGTAAAACACTTTTGTTCGTTAAATTTACCTCAGTCCGGTGATCTTGGATCTGTTAAATACTTCCGGCGATCTGCGTGAACGCAGAGTCTGCGCCAGAGACCTGTTTGCTGCACGCTTACGTTGACCTCCATTGTGGCAAATGTTCCTTCATCCAGGCTACCAGTGCCTCAGCGTTTCTTCATATGTAAATGGACCTACATTAGCACACGAATTGGTATACACAATGTAAGTTTGACCTGATATGCTGAGCTTCCTTCACTGGAGGCAGCAGTAACTTCTCGTTTGGGTTGATGACAGCAGCTTTGTTGGTCTAGAAGCTATTCGCTACGGCTTTGTATTCCTATATCTATGTCACTTTTTAAGGGTGACTCCATGAAGATGTCATTAACTACTGTCGACATATGACCCTTCCTCTTTTGTCTTATAACGGTTCATTAATGGCGTGCCTATGCTTACTGTCTGTCTGTTACCCAGCTACTCAGTTTGGCTCACTCGTATTTCTGATAGGGTTTGGTATCTCTGGTGAAATACCTTATTCGTCGTGCTTCAAAGGCCACGTAGATGCTATCTTGATCTTTTGTTCATCAACGCGGACGGTGGTGCGAATGTAGCACACATTCGTACTACACACCTCAACCTGTTGGCCTCCTGCAATACTAAGATTCAGAACCCCCTCCTTTACTTTGATCTCGTCATCAGCCGCAGTGAGAGCGAACCGCCTGAATGATCAGATTACAGAAGATCGACATGACCCAACAAGTCAATGACGCGTCATCGTTGTCACTGGCGTGTGTCCAATATCCAGTCGTTAATTATGTTCGTGGTAGATACGTGCTCTTCCGCTTTTCGACTTCGAGTATGCTGACGACATTGTCCTAATCTATGACGGCTATCAAACATGCCTACCTACACTGGACAAATTAGCACTGACTGTCAATCGTTTTGGGCCTTGCTTTGCTTCATCGAAATGCAAATTCCTTCTTCAAGAGTGGCTGGGACCCACCTCCACGCAGACCCTTGGTGATGATCAGATAGAAGTCGTTCAGGAAGCTATCTTTGAACACATAGGGTCAAAAATGTGGTCAACAACCGTATAGCGATAGCCCGATGTGCTTTTGTCAATCTCCGCCGCCTGTGACGCCGGCGTATCATTACTCTCGCCCTGAATGGTAGAGTTTACAATGCAGCCGTTCGTGCAACCCTGCTCTACGGTTATGAAACCTAGCGCATCAAGTCGACAGACATAAAGAGGCTAGTCACGTGCGATCGTCGCTCCATTCGCAGCTTACTTCATGTCTGGTGGGAGCACTGCATGAGCAGTGAGCGTCTTCGGCGTCGTGCATTTGGTGCAGCATGAGCGAGTGAACCGCTCAGCACTGTTATATCACACACCAGGCTTCGATGGCTGGTCCACGTGTTGCACATGCCAGCACACCGACTCCCGCATCTTGCATTGTTTGCGCGCCGAGGGCCTGGATGGAAGAAGAGGAGAGGAGGCCAGACAATGACTTGGTCGAGAGGAATGAAGTCTCAAACTTCGAACTTGGCGTCGGTTGATGTTTCCTGACTGCCGGGCTGGGTACAGAACGATGAATACGTTTGGTTGGATGCACTAGTTGACTTGGAGAAGAACCGATTTCACTGTCTTTTGTGTTGTTAATCTCTTTGTCCCTCCTCTCGCCTTTGGCCTCCCCTCCACCGAAGATGTCCAATGTGATATTCTTATGTTCCTTTTTTTAGCTTTTTTGTCTGCATTGCTTAATCTCTTATCTTTTTTGTATCTTTTGTGGCACATTGGCTGAGGTGTGTTTCTCACCCTCGTTCAAGGCGTATTGATAATGATGATGACGACTATTTTGCACTTGTTTACTGCTGAAACATCGAAGGTGGGTTTCTTTTCAACAGATTTGTGCAGGTCAGCCGTCGATCCATCTGCTTTTTTTCATGCTTCTCCCATTCTTTTCCTTTCCAGATGACATATACACAATATTTCTAGCCTGTGCGTATGAGGTCGCTGCCTACTCCGATTCAGACCCGATGTCCCCTTGGTGTGGTTTCCTGAAACCGGCTCATCAAGAAGTGTTGGAATATTTGGTGGATTTGAAGGTACTCCAAGCCGAAATGTGTTTTACTTTTGCGTCGTTGTTTCCCATGTTTTTATCATTTAGCGAACACCCCCACTTCTCAGTCTCCTGGCCCTGCAGGTTGAAGGTTGGAGTGTGGGTAGCTTCTTACTCCATAAACGGGCTCTCTGTCGTCCAATGTCAAAACCCCGCTGCTTTGCGGTTAGGTTTTTGAACCCAAGGCTTTGGTTGAGAACCCTGATCGCTCTCTTGTCTTGGCCTGGGCAACCTGACAGTATCCTGCCACGCAATACATCATGACCTTTTCTTTTAACAATCTCTTGATTCTCTGGCCTTCGCAGATGATGATAAACGGCGCCCTATCTGCTGCATCCAGCATCAAGACCGTCTTGATCGATATTTGCTGTTTCTCGGAAACCCTCCTGCAAGATTCGAGCTCCGTGCTTACTCTGCGACCCCCCACGTGCGACACTGGCGGCACATTCTCATTGCGCCTGTCTGGCGATGATGCAGCTTCATATGCCGGTCAAGCTGGCGTCGGCATTGTTTTGAGTCCCCGGACTAAAGCTGCCCTGATCGACTGGATCCCTGTCAACAGCCGGATGTGCGCCGTTAGGTTGGTTGGCTCGTTCCAAGCTTCGAAGTCGTGCGGAGACAAACGGTGTCTGTTTATTATTACGGCTTATGCCCCCCACAAACTGCAGTCCTGATTCGGTGAAAGATGATTTCTCTCACCAACTTAACCATCTTCTTCGTTACAGAAGAAGCACGGATACTGTGGTGCATGCTGGTGATCTAAACGCCTAAGTCGGAAAATTGTCCTCTGATGAGGTTCATCTTGGCGACCAACATGGTGTAGGCTCCCGTAATGATAACGGTGAGTCGTTGCTACACCTGTGTGAAGGTGCTCTTCTCTTTCTCGCGAACACTAACTTTCGACACAGCACCCGCAGAAGAGTGACTTGGCGCCCACCAGTCTCTGGCCAGCCATGGACGCAAATCAATCACATCACGATTAGTTACCGTTGGAGAGGCTGTCCAAAACTGTCGCTCGATTTGGTGCACCAATGTAGACTCCGATCACGCTCTTGTGTGTGCCGACCTGCGGATGCGTTTCGGCAAACGTCCGCAACGTCGTTCTTAACGCATTGATACCAGCCAGCTGGCGAAGTCAAGTGTTCTGAATGCGTATCAAACTACGGTGGCATCTGGGCTGAGTAAGCGTCCACTAACCACCGTTGAAGATCACTGGTCGCATATTCGTCAAACGTTACTATCAGCAGGCATGTCTTCATGTGGCAAATCAAATTGCCAACCTAGACAATAGGTCTCTACAAAGTCTCTGGACTATGATGCTTGCCAACGTATTCCGGCTGGAAGCGAATACAATGAGATTCGCAAAAATCTCAGGGCAAAACTGTGTGCTAGCCTGAAAAGAGACCGCGAAGCCTGGTGGTCTCATCTTGCATCGGAAATGGAAACAGCCGCTGCCGTTGGTAATCATCGTAAGTTATTCCATCTGATACGGGAAACGGGCAGCAGGAGACCTGATGTTTGTGAGACAATACGCGGCGAGAGTGGACAGCCGATCCACAGCTTGGAGCGTTGGGCCGAACACTTGCAAGGCAGTTTAACCAATCTCAGTTATCGCTTTCTCTTTCGGGCATTGAGTGCTCTTCTCTATGGGCCGTCTTCAGATCCGCCCTCACGCGCAGAAGTCGAACGCGAGATCAGACAGTTGCAATTGCATAAGGCTGCTGGTGCATATAGAATCCCCCCAGCTCTCTACAAATTCGGGGACCTGCACTTGTAGATTATTTACACGAGTTACTAATGGAACTTTGGGAGCAGGAGACCGTACCGACAGAAGGGAGCCGCTCCGTCATAGTCCCAATTTTTAAGGGAGGCTCCCGTTCGGAATGCGGCAACCATAGAGGGATCAGTCTGATCTCAATTGCTTCTACATTACCTGTCTCTGTTTTTCTCCACAGACTGACTGGCGCTCGTGAAGGCCAGATCCGCGAAGAGCAAGCCGGGTTTCGTCGAAATCGAGACTGCATCGACCACATCTTCACTTTGCGTCAATTGTTGGAGTACCGCCATGTTTATTGGCGACCCACCGTTGTCGTTTGTCTCGACATCAAAGGTGCATTCGATTCGGTGGATCGATGTGCCTTTGGGACTGTGTACTGAGAAAAGGTGTGACCGATAAATATGTAAACATTATCGAAGCGCTGTACACGCATAGTTCGGGCAGAGTGAGGGTTTATGGCCAACTCTCGCCGCCCTTCAATATCTCCAGCAGTGTGAGACAAGGTTGCCCGCTGTCACCTTTCTTCTTTAACTTCGCTATTGAGGAACTCATGAAAACAGCGTTCGCTGGACACGACCTAGAAGGTGTGGAGCTACTTCCTGGTGAGCGACTTCTTGACTAGGAGTATGCGGACGACATTGCCCTCATATATGACAGCGCTCAAACGTACCAGGCTGCACTGGACCGATTAGCACTGGCTGTCATTCGTTTTGGACTAAGCTTTGCTCCATCGAAAGGTAAAGTTCTCCAAGATTGGCAGGGACTCACCTCCTGCGCTGACCCTTGATGGTGATCATCTAGATGTTGCTCAGGAAATCAAGTACCTGGGCAGCTATATTAGCGCTCGTGGGATCAAAGCTGAGATTACGAACCGTATAGCAAAAGCTCGAGGTGCTTTCGTCAATCTCCGCCACTTGTGTGGCAGACGCGACATCATTCTACCTGCACGGTAGAGTGTATAGTGCAGCCGTTCATTCAACCCTTTTATACGGTTGTGAAACCTGGCCCATCAGGTCGACAGACATAAAGAGGCTGATCACATTCGATCATCGCTGCCTTCGCAGCCTAGCTCATGTCTGGTGCGAGCATCGCATAAGTGGTGACGGTGTTCGGCGTCGCGTATTTGGTGCCGGAAGAGCTAGTGAACCGTTCAGCACCATTATGTCACGCACCAGACTCTGATGGCTGGGCCACGTGTTGCGCATGCCAGCACGCCGACTCCCACGACTTGCATTGTTTGCGCGCCACGGGGCCAAGCGATGACTTTGTCGGGAG